TGCATATTTATGTTTTACCTATATGTATATTATGAACATCACATTCATTGATGGCTTTATAAACTAACACCGGGAATTCTCACATGGAAGCAGCAGAACCACAGGCTCATAACTATTTATCTGTTATGCTCAGTCACTTTCATTTAGGAATGGTATAAAAGCTTGTAATACAATATAGCATGAATTGATCAGCTTTTTATCACGATTCTTCGTCGGTAATCACTATTTCCATTTATTTCCTCCCTCCCCGATGAGAATCCGAAACCTTTTTCATCAGTTCATCTGGTATGATTAGGCATCCAACAAAACAGTTATGTTTAAACAAAATTTTCCCAGAATTGTGTTCATATGCAAGTGAAAACACTTTCAACCTGGTCGTCTAATCACTAATTCAACATATTTTGCTTTTCTTGGTAAATTTAGGCAAACAATGGCTGAATGAATGAACCAACATAATCTTCCCAATCTTTATAGGAAATATTCCATAAATATGCTATAAGGTAGATAAGAAAAGGAGCAAACAATATGTTGGACAACATCCATCAATGTCTTCAATATTCGCCATGAACCTCCAGCACAGCATGATGTACGAGGTTATCCAACGTTAAAAACCCACCAGGGTTTCAAAACAGTGCAAGCCGTCAAATTGTGGTGCCACCCTTGGCAGTGGTGCCACCCTTGGCAGTGGCGTGGTGTGCACCTTTTGGTTAGGTTTTGCCGGCATACTCCCTGTGGATGAACGAACCCCGCCTCCAAGTTCCTGAACATGTGAATCCATACGATTGAGCAGCAAAACACAATTTGTATACAGCAATGGAAAAGGCAAGTGGTGCTATAATAAATAAATACCTTGGCTCCAGAATGATTATGACGGTCAAAAGAATAAATCCCCACTGCAGCGGCTACTACAGCTGGGATTATTGCATACACTGTAACCGAAGCCATTTGCGTTTGAGAATCTCAAGTGTTTTTCAGATGATGCAGAGCAAAAATTTGGGTTTCTAATTATGATAGAAATAAGGGTAAAGGAATGCAGGTGCCTTGCGGATGAAGAGAAGTAAAAGCTATAAAGGAATTAACTAATAATACCATTGTCTTAACTTTGGGGTACTAATATCTTATAGGATAATTGTATTTACAAAAAGAGGCGTCGGTGCAACCAGGGCTTTATGATCTTATCCATGTTGGCTAAAAAGTTCAATTGGCAGCATGTCCACAGGGGAACCCACTTAGCTTTAGGATTTAGATATTCAAGACGCTAAACAACCACAGACTACACTACACTAGAAGATAAGGGTCTTCAGGGATAGAGTTTAGAATTGTGATTGGAAGAGGAGAGCATGTAATTTTATTTATTTTCAGTAAATTAGATAATAATATACTATAATTACAAATGATTTATATGTTACATATAAATATTAAAAAATTATATTAAAGTTAATTAATTATAAATGTAATGAATAATAAAAGATGTTAAATGAGGAGTGAAGGATAATCCTATTGGCAGCTAAGATTTGAAGCTTAATGGAACGAAAATAAGCCACGTTATGTGGGCCGCACCAACCACATAATGCCTTTGCTTCATATGTTTATCTCTCTCACGTACCAACTTCATTACAATCCCCGATGCTTCGGGAACTCATAACCTGATTTTAAGATTGATTTCTTTACCACGTTTATTTATTATTATTTTGATTTATCATGCTTTAGTCATTCAAATGAATTTGATACGTGATTTAGATTCGGAGATAGTTTTCTCACGGTGCTCAATACTGATTCATAATTATCGATGATCTTTCAGTAATTTAATCTCTTGTTATAATTTACTATTGATGCAGCTGGATATATTCGTATTTATATTTAGTTTTAATTTTTGGATTAGTTTTTAATATTTTTCTTTAATGTTTCTTACATCACATTGACTAATTTATTATACCAACAGTTATAAAAATGTCTTAATTATATGTTTAATTTATATTTACGATTATAAACATTTAATATAATTTTAAATATTTACTTTTTTAAAAAATAAAATTAAATGTTTTTATTTATATATAAAAACATGTGTTAAGTTCATTTTTCTATTTAGTTTGATCGCACGATTCATTTCACTATTTATGTACTAATTATTTGTGGAAATAATCTTTTGTTATGCTAAAATAAAACGTCATACAAAAAGAATTTATTTCGGTTGGAATTGTTAATGACGTGGTCCCTTGGAACATTCACATCCACCGCCAAAATACTTACACAAAGGAAAACGTGATACTTTGTAATTATGACTGAGATGATATATAAAGTGAGATATTTTTGTTCAATTTTACTAAATTGGTTACATGCTTTTATTAAATGATTCGATTTGAAATCGAACTTGATTTTTTAACGAGTCAAAAAAATTATTTAATATTAGACTCAAAAATATAGCGAGCAATTCGAAAATAATATACTAAAAATTTAATTTTAAAATTAAATTATTATTAATATTTATATATATATATATTTAAATGCAATATAAAATTTTAATATACTTGTTTAGATTCAAGCTTGAATCGAGCTCAAGTTCTAGCTTTAATCAAACTAAGTCCGAGAATATTTCAATTTTAAGTTTTTCAAGCTCGATTCGAACATCAATTTTAATTCCAAATTTGTGTTGAATTTAACAATTTTAAACTCATAAATTTTTGAGTTAAAATCGAACTCGACTCATTTACATAACTATTTGTAATCATAAGGTGGGTTATATTGTATGTGTTTTCACCAAAACTCTTTCTCCGAGATTTAATTACAATTACTCTATACTTTTGCCTTTTCTTTTTTAAAAGAATGAAAAATGGGTATTTATTTTAATCAAAATAAAAAATGCATAATTTAAATACTCGTTTATCATTTAAAATATATTCAACTAAAACGTGAGTTAAAAAGATCCGGTGGGTATGTTACACAGTCCACTTGACGAAAGGTGTATTTATGAATAAAAATTTGATAAAAGACTGATAGAAATTATTGACATGAATGTATCATAAAAAGAAACATAAGTAGATTAGATAAGAAAGGGGTAGGTATTTGAATGCCAATTAGTATAGGTTAATGAAATAATCTTATGTAATTAGTTTTTTTTTGTAAGGGTGAGAAGAAGTGGGACTGAAAGAGTGAAGAAACGGAGTTGGTGTCTCAAAAGGGCAAGTATATAAAATATTTTAGGGTTTGGATTTTAAGTGTTTATTTAGGGATGGCAACGGGCCAGATATTGATCCCCGTCCCCGCTTAAAAAATTGTGGGGATTTAAACGGGGATCCCCATCGGGTAATCGAGGAAAACCGCGGGGAAAATGATATCCCGTTTAGCATAAACGGTTATTTAAACGGGTATTGTGTCGGGTATATATATTTAAATTAAATATATAAATATTATATATATATATATATTTTAATTTTAATTTTAATTTATTAATATTATATATATATAAAATAATTATTTTTAATATTTATCGGGCCGGGTTTCGGGTAATCGGGATGAGGATTACCAAACCCGTCCCCGTCCCCATTTATCATCCTCGAACCCGACCGTTTAATTCGGTTTTCGATTTTTTCTGTCGTTCAGGTTTTTTTGCCATCCCTATGTGTATTGTATTTTAAAGGTAAAATCGTCTTTTAATATTAATATAAATATATTATATATAAGGGTAAAATACACAAATGGTCCCTCAACTATAGGGTGATACTCTTTGTGTCACCGACTATTGAAAGTTATAAAACGGTCCTCCAATTACAAGACATTGTTTTGTTAGGTCACCCGCCTATTCATATATTTCAAACTCATCCTTTTTTGTTAAAAAAATAATGATCATATGAGCTGGACATTGACATACTAACTAAGATATGATAAAATCATATTTTAATGATGTATACTGACACCGTTATTACTTCCGAACACAGTCGGATCTCGGCAACCCATTTTTCTCGGTGACGCTGCCTAACACCTCGATAAAGCTTGGTCAGTTTCGTTGCTAAACTCGTTTGTTTCATCGAAATCAGTGTGAGGCTAATAAACCTAGCCATATGGTTTGTGGGTTGAGAATTTTGGTCAATGTAACTAGGTTGGTTGGTTCGAAACTTGAACTAAGTCGGGACATGGGGAAGGGGAAGAAGAAGCAATTTTCGTAAAAGGTCAACAACTTCCATCAATTAGTGATCGGTCAACGTGTCAGGTCAGCTGTCAACGGGGCAAGTAAGCATTTAAAGGTCCAACTCATATTTCTGTCACAAATATTAACGGTTTTTAACGTGGAATTATCATTTTATTACAAATCTATAACTTTGGTGACCAATTTATAACTTTTGAAAGTTTAAACAAAAATTTATTCGAACTTTAGTGAACATTCACGTAGTTTACCCATAATAATATAGATGAATGACACCAAAGACTGATCGAAAGGAAATGAAGTGACATTGATTCAACTTTTAGTTAAAAATAATTAAAGAAGGGAAGATGCAATGATCTAAAAAAAGTTTAGGATGAAATTAACAATAAGATGTTTAATGCGAGTAGTCTATGATCAAGATTGAAATTGGATAATAAAATATTAAAGAATCTAACAATCAGTTGATTTAATGAGATACAATATTAGATTTCTTAAGAAAAATGTCTGGAGTCCAAATTCTAACATTTATGAATAGGACAAACTAAATTAAAAGAATCGTCCCGTAATAGACCTCCTCAAAATTTGATTTTGAATTTATCATATATCAATAATTAATTCAAAAAGTATATACAAAACAAAATTCAAGATGAAACTAGAAACATTAGATCATGTCAAGCAGGTGTTGTCTTATTTGCATCACAAACCTTGTTTTTCTGCAACTATTTTCTGAAATGGGTATGCAATTGGAATCGGCAGTACGTTTCAGCAGAAAAAGAAAAAGACCATTTTTGCCATTAGTACTTGCAATTACAGTGCTACTAACAAACTCAAGATCACGAGGTATAAACCAGCAAGCGTTTTACTGAATTTCTACATCAATAACTTTGCGTTCAACTTTAGTCTTAGGAATGGTGATGAAGAGAACTCCATTCTTCACCTCTGCCTTGATTTTATCTTTATCACAGTTGTCTGGTAGTTGGAGACGAGTATCATAGGAGCTGTAGTTCCTATTTCTCCAATCATCATTCTTTTCTTCCTTCTTGTGCTCTCCCTTTATAACCAGAATATCGTCCTTCACGGAGACCTTGACGTCGTCTTTCACGAGCCCCGGAATATTGAATCTCATCTTGATCTCATGTTCATTGTCGTTGATGTCTCAAGGTTTCGGCCCATGCTAGGAAATGTCATAGAATCCTCGAATATCCGGTCCATTGTGTCCAGCATTTGACGCATTGATCTCGTAGGCGACAAGGGGTCCAACAAACCTGCCATCGATGGATCATGTTATGATTCTCCGAATGTATAAAAAATTGCATCAGGTTAGGACTGAGCTAATACACATACCAAAAGGCGAGACGCGCATGGCCGATCGTTTAGGCCTCTTCTCAACGGCTGTCCCTTGTCCTTTATTATCCTTGTTAACGTGCACGTCCGCTGACGTGTCTTTGTTATGATCACCTGTAGCCTGTGTCCTTACAACAGACAACCAGCTGTTGGAAGAATTCTTGTTGGGAAGAGATACAGAGCATGGCATTATAGCTTTGGTGGAATAAGGCAGATTAGCCCTGTCTGATACCAATGCTGAAGCTGAGCAAGACAAAGTTAAAGCCATTACTATGACAGTCTTGGAGAATTGAGAGGTTTATTGTTTTGCCGATGGCTGTGTTTGAACTGATGGAAGAGAAAGGAAGAAGGTGAATATATATAGATGAAGGGAGAGAGCCGATGCCATGCTTTGCTCATGAAAGAAAAACGCTGGGGAAGTTTGGAGATGGATCCTGAAAGTCGGGAGTGAGGGTGTTAAAGTTCTGGACTTGTCCTTATTTGAACATATTTGGGCTTCCATGTATCCTTAATAGCAATTGGCCTCGTGAGATTGGGGCAAAATTCAAGCACATCAATAGAAATGACAAGTTGGCAAATTGTGGTGCAATCTTGGCAAAGCGAGTTAACATAATCATAGTAATAAGTTCTTACAAACATCAACTATTGAGCAATTGAGAAACCAAGTTAGGATTATATGTCATAAACCAACAACTAAGTGATTCATTTAGACCATACAAAAAAACAAAAAGGACAAATCCGTTTGTAGTAAAATTTGATATCGGACAAGAGGGAGATAATTTCCTTTAAGCCAGCATCAAACTGATCTCAGGTTTGACCCTGGAACTAAGTGCTGGGCTGCTACTACCACTGCTATCAGACAATGAAGCAAGAGCTTTATGTAGAACACCAGACGGTGAAGACGATACAGTCACCGATGGACTACAAGAGTTTTCATTTCCGGTGACTGGAGATGATAGGTTAGAGCTGCTTTTGGTGGCGCTCGGCCATAAAACCTCAGCTAGTGGGCCACCAGGTGTGGAGGCAGGTGCTAACCAACTTGATAGGTGTGATTTGGAAGCATATTCATGGTTCTCATCATACTCGCTCACTCCCAACCCCATACGGATAGGCCCCATCTCATTATCAGTGATGCTGTTGACTCCCATTGACAGGGAAAGTGATGAAAGAGAGGGTTTCCCGTCGAAGGCAACGGAGGCTTCAGCTCCAGTGTTGTCACTTGATACACCAGTAGACCACGCATCAATAAAGCCTCTACGTGTACCTTCAGCGGACTTCTGTAGCGGAACTATTTCAGAGTTGAGAAACCAAGGGCAACTATTGCGTTGTTGATGTACAACATTGAAATTTGGACACGAGATCAAGTCTAGAGGTTCCTTGTCATAAGCATTGGACAAATAACCTTCAGTAGCTGCCCCTGTTTGCATGAGATGATGCCACTGCTGGTCAGCCAGGGGAATGAGTTCATTAGTGGTCCAGTCCGAGGTCCTACAATGAGGGGGGATATAAGCCCAAATTGGTAAAAGAAAAGCATGATAAAAGCTTAAAAAAAACCACAAACGTGGTTGTTGAACTCACCTGGGTTCTTTGTAGGAAGAAACAGAGGTGAAAAGCCAAAAAGTTGCAGCTTTTAAACTTGGCTTGTCAAGAAACCAGGTGGTTTGGATCTGCTGGAAGGGGTGAGCAAGAGTTCCAACAAACTGAGACTGAGAAGCATTGTTAGCGAGAATGGTGGAGGAAGATGAAGGAAGAGCTTGACCATCGGTGGTATTACGAGTCCTCTTGTTACGAAGTTCCACAGGCTTTCTTGAACGTGGACGACCTCTATGCAAGTGTCGCTCACAGTACTTCTGGTCAGGCGCCACATCTCTAGAGCACCTCCATTTTTTCCCATCTGTTCTCTTGCACCTCCCTGGCTCAACATCCCTTCGACCTGCGAACCTTGGATTTAGAGCACCACCACCCACTGCCCACACAGATAAAACAGCAAAGTAAGATAATTTTTCACAATCGGAGTCATAAGCTATCAATAAAGACAAAAGAAATCGATGAAAAGAAAAGAGATTACAGGCAGAGTGGGAAGCAACCGAAACCGAGGGGATGAGGAGATCAAGAGGCACAGGAACGGAAGCGATCATGTATTTGTAAATCTTAACTTGTCTCTCAAGCTCCTTCCGCTGTGAAAATGTAAAAGGAAAGTCCAAAGATGCCGCCATCCCTCCTCCTGTTACACAAATCAACCATCCTCAATCTGTCTCCATCAAACAGACAAAACTTACTCTCTGCCTAGCTCATTGAATAAAGATGTCAAGTTTTTTCCTTCTGCTTCATTTAGAAAATAAGGAGGAAAGACATGATGGATTTTGCATTGACTAGAAGAGTAAAAGCAAGAAAATTTCTACCTGGGGATTTGAAGGTGGTGTGAGCAGTAGAGCTTGAAGTGGGGGAAATGTCAAAAGGCTGCAGAATCCTTACACCAACTGCACCGGCACTAGAAACAGCAGCAGCAGCAGCAGCAGCAGCGAACCATAATCACTACTAGCTAAAACATCGTATATATTACTGGTCTTAGGCATGTTGGGATCATCACCATAAGATGGAAATGGACGGTGATGATTCTCCTAGTTAGCCATGATCATCTTCCGAGGTACTAATAATGGAGTAATATACTACTTACTTGGAAGCTTCACACCTAAATCAACAGCTTTAATGCTACTCTACTATCTTTGGCTGCCTTGTCTTAAACGTTACACTCCAGCCAATGCTCATAATGAAACCACTTTCCCCATTTAGGAAACTGCTCTTTTTCATCGAATAAACCACGAATCTCCCCTAAACTGTCAAATAAGGTCCCCAACCACTTCACAACTCTATTACCCTTTTGAATACGCAGACAGTGGGGGAAGAGAAAAGAAGAAGAAATTGCAGGCAGAGATTATATGGTAACGAGTATCGTTTTCCTTTTCCTCATCGAAGGAGACCACCAGCTTATAAATCTTGTAGAAAACCAACAAATATGTCTAAAGTGACCAGGTGATATGTATAGCCCCAGAGTGTGGCGTGGATGATATGGGGTTTTAGATTTTCAGGAAATAAGGTTATGGGGTGCCGCCATTCTCGGCCTTTGCTTTGCTTCCATGCTTCCAACATTCGCACCACACAAGTAGACAAAATAGTTAAAGGCGTTTCTTTTTTTCTTTTTCTCTCTCTATTCTTTAATTCAACCGCCTCCCATATATTTTTTTTATAAGTAAGATTTTATTAATCAAGAGTAAAGTCAACAAATAACAGGCATCCCGAGAGGAATCGAAAACCTTGGGAGTCACTGAAGTTCTGCTGCCTAGCGGGCTGACTATAGTTGTTGGTTCCTTGATTTTTTCACAAAAAGTTTAGATGTTGACGTCATTTATGATTATATGTGTTAGAATAAGGGTTGTTGTTGTCTCAATTATAGTTGCCCACATAATTGATGGATTTAATGATTGATCGGACACTCACTCTCATTATGATTATCGTGGCATAATAAACATGTTTAATTGGCTGCCTTCACTTCTCTCACCTCGCTTAGCCTTTGTAAGTTCTTTAACATATTGGTGATAGCAGCAAGTTGGGCGGACATCGTATCTTTAGAATCTAGCTCGAAAGCTCCATATGATTTCGTCCAAGTCCAAGCCTTGTAGATGAAAATTGATAATCGTTGTTGGCAATCCTATCCAAAATGTCAAATGCCTCTGTTGGTGATTTGTCAAGTAATGTCCCATTTGCCGAGGCATCTAGCATCATCCTCGTGGATGCATTAACTCCATTATAGAACATCACAACTTGAGTCCAGTCGTGGAATCCATGATTGGGGCACTTACGAAGCAAACTTTTGTATCGATCCCAACACTCATACATAGACTCTTCATTGCCTTGGTGAAAAAATGCTATGACATTTCTAAGATGATTGTTCATATCAGGTTGATTATGCCGTAGCAAATTTTTTTGCACAAGTCAACCCAAGACCTTATCGAGCCGGAAGGTAATCCATTGAGCCATGCCCTGGCGTGATATTTCAAAGAATATGGAAATAACTTCAATTTCAGTGCATCTTCATGCACACCTTGTTGTCGAAAGCAATCACAAACCTCCAAAAATGCTCTAACATATTGTCTTGCATCCTCATGAGGAGCACCACCAAATTGTCCAAAAAGTCCAACATGTCGAACATAACTGGTTTGAGCTCGAAGTGGGCTGCCTGAATCATGGGTGCCACAATTTCGGGATTTAGATCGTCCATGATAGGGTTTAAATGATCTCGAATATTATGAGGCCTAGCTGCATTCCCAGCATTTGGAATTGCCTCAGCATTCTGATCTTCCTCTTAACCAATTCCTTGATTTCCAATTTGGTACATCTTTGCTTGAGCACGTTGAGTATGTAAAATAAAAGCCTGAAAAAGACAAGGAAAATAACAAGTAAAACTATACAAAAAAATTTGAACAAATAAAATAAAAATGCTATGGAAAAACTAATTAACTTCCAGTTGCCAATCTTCGGCAACGGCGCCAAAAACTTGTCCGCTCAGTATGAGTATTATAAATGAGTGCGGATATATGTGCAAGTATACACAATCGAACAAGTAATAAAGTGATAAGTTGAGAATCGTCTCCACATGGAATTGCAAGTATATACAAATGATAATGATGTGGCAAAATGGAATGACTGATGTGGAAATGGAATGATGGTGGTGTGGTAGTAATTGGATATGTCGTGACGAATGAAATTGTGATGCGTGGGAACAAATAGAAATGTCAAGGCAAAATAAAATGCAAATACTTGATTTAATTTATAGGACTTTGTCTTTCTCACACGACAAGCTACTATGGGAATGAGTGATAGGAGTCACTCTGGAAAATCTAAGTTTACTTCTCCGAACAATCTTATCTCTATGCCTTTTTTTCCCGACAGAGTATACTAAGGTGCTCTATGCTATCTCTAGTAAGGGACTCGACAGATTGAACATGCCCATGCAAAACCGGTTGGCGTAAACCCCTGCAGTGATCCTATTGGTTTAGATAACAAGATATGTCTTGGCAATACTTTTTTGCGGCAACATTAACATCTAACCTATCGCTCATGCACAACTCCTTTTAGTTGAATGAAATCTTAGCCTTATCTCTAAGGTGGATTAGGCCTAGTTACTATCTAGAACCCCTTGCTTATGTGGTTCCTCTCTAGTTTCTCTCGAACACTAAGGATGTGTTACCTAGGTATTCTCTCGAATCCTAAGAATCTCCTAAGGAATGGCTACTCTCGTAGCTCCTACAACCTTAAGGCACCAAGCTTCATAAACAAAACATATTATAGCATAGAAAAATAACCATTCATTGAAATGAAACTTAAACATCCAAAATGAACTCCCACCAAATAGGATTAGTTCATGGTGGGGTTCGAAATAAACAAGCACAAAGCAAGTTTTATCTGTTCCTTACAACCCAAGTGATAAATTATTAAAGCAAAGAACAAAGGAAAGAAGAAAAATCCTTCGACGTGCACTGCCGGAGCTTCCCTCAGCCACCACGAACTGCCCCCAACGAACTAGCTCCTCTCGAATGTCTAGAACGCTACTCCCTCAAGCTTGTCACAAAGAAATGCCACGGCAAGTAGGATTGCCGGAGAAAGATGAGACATTCTCTCTCTAACTTTTTAAGCTCAAATCTAGGTGAAACCAAAATCTTCTTCATTGTGGCTTCATCCTCTATTTATAAGGGGAGAAAAACCCTAGGACTTGGTGTTAAAATTCCTAGGATACCCCATACTATGCTTGATTCACGTGAGGATCGGGCAGTGGTCCAGCCTGTGTGGCTGGCTGAGTACCAGACATGATCATGCTGTAGCAGCCTAAGGATAGACAGGATCTGCAGAGCAGGCGACGCGGTCAGCAGGGTCAGCTGTTGCAGCGCTGACTCCTCCAGGCGGATCTTCGATGTGGATTTCTTGGGCAGAGGACACGGAGAGTCGAGGACAGTTGGTTGAAAAATATCTTCTTTCACCTTGTGCGCTTTCGAAATGCCTGTCGAACTTGGCATTTTTATTTAGCTCAGCAATCTCTTTATGTCACGACATTTCCTTTTCTCTTTTCCTTTCTCTCAATTCCTGCACATCATTAAACAAACACATTTCCCATAAGGCAACACTGAAGACAAATAAAAATGTCGCGGAAAACTGAATTCCACCACATGCAACTATATGCTCCTAAATGCATCTATATGGTTCTAAATGGGCTCTTAGACATTCAATAACTTAAGTGAAAAGATCCCAAAATGTGACCTTTTTATAGAGTTATCACAGCCACACAAAAGAAATGCCATTTTGGATGCTGATTTTTCATTCCTAACAGCTCTGAATGATCATCAACTGCATTTTTAGAGATTGTTTCATGCTTTTTGAAAATATCATTCCCATTTGTCACATGGTCAGAAGCAATTTATGAGAGAACTTTCTTTAGTCGGTTAGGCTACACAATCGGAGGCAACAGAAGGAAAAAAGGTCGATTGAGGAGACGTGGCTGCAGTAGCTGCAACGACTTTTGCAACAGCAGTTGTGGCTGCTATAATCTCTTGTGCTCCCTCTCGAAGCTGAATATAATCTCCATCGATCACAAATAACTGAAATCAGAAAGATGTTACAATTTTATAAGCATACAAATATGTGAAAAGCTACATTAAACAAACCTCAAAGTGCTTGCCTACAAAATCATCCAGCTTTCCATACTTTTTCTTGTAATCATGCCAATGTAAAGGTGCAAGCATTTTCCCCAACCTATTTGGTAGCTGCAATTCAAATATATAAGTCAAAACCATTTGTGCACAACTTAAATGCTATAGTAAGTTGACCTAAGTAAAATCATTAGCAAACCACAAAAGTACTAACCGTTGAATTGATCCTGATTCTGCCTCCATTTGGAATTGTGCGAACAATGCAGGGCAACAATGCTTTTTCATCAAGCAAAGCAGTCTCTGAAATCTTACCGGACATCAATGTATTATTCCGTCCAGTTGTGACTGACTTTTTGGGCAAAACAGCACCAGTACCATTGATGATTGTTGTTTCATTGGAATTAACAGATTGCACTGAAGTATTGGTAGGAGACAGGCTGCCAGCAATACTTATTTCTAATGTTAGATCTTGGTCCTCCAGCACATGATTTTTCAAGTTCAGCATATTCTGTTCCTGTCCAGTTCAAAGTTCAGTAGATATTACATCCAAGATTTCCAACAACTTGAAGACTGGCCAAATAGACAAACCTTGGATTCACAACTCTGTTCAAGATTGCTCAATTTCAATGCATCGTGAAATTGGGAAAAACCCTGTTGCAAGCTTTGCTCAGATCGGTTTCACAATGTAACTTGCATTAACTGAATCAAAGACTTACACATTGTCAACACACATTTTCGTCCTACTAGGATTCAAACTCCTAAAAATAAGATAAAATTTTGCTAGGATTCAAACTCCTAAAAATAAGATAGAGTTCTACTAAGAT